AATTTGTATACGCTTAAGTGAAATTGTCTAGGTTCATCCCTCTTAGGTCAACCCTTGTACTATAAATAGGTTATGCTATTCATTTGTAAATCATCATTTGTTCCATCTTTCACTTCATTTTCATTCTTTCTTTTTAGTTTTCAACTTTTAAGAATTCCATTGTATTTTTTTTTTGCCAGGGTGAAAAAATAACCTACATTTCTTATTTTTTCCAAGTTATTTTCAATTCAAGATCAGTTACATTTTCTTCAAAGTTTTCTTATTTACATTTCAAGCACATTTTTACTTTTGATTTTGATCTCCATTTACTTTGTTGCTATTTTACATTTTATGCAAAGGTGGTATTATTGTAGACCAATATATAGCTAAACCAATAAGCCTAATGGATGCTAGTCAAATGTTTAGCCAAAACAAGAATTGGTATTGGACTTTTTTAAATTCAAAAGAGTCTTAAGCCAAGTGAAAGAATTAAGGGGATTTGTTATTTGAATTTAAACTAGCTGAATCTTTCATTTAAAATTCAAATTATGTTGATTTGGTAAGACACCTAAGCATGAACGGCACAAATAAACCAAAATAAAAGTCCTTTTCGACCACCCAAGTTTCAAATCATCTAAGAGCTTTCCATTTTCTACCAATTATCCTTTGAAATTCAAGGTTACATTTTGAATTTAAATTTGTTTAAACTTAAGTGAAATTATCTAGGTTCATCCCCCCTAGGCCGACCCTTGTACTTTATAAATCTTTTTTTTTTTGCTAGGGTGACAAATTAGCTTACATTTCTCTAGGTTAAAATGTTTGTACAAGGTTACCTTTATATTTTTTCAAACATTTTGTTTTCCTTAGTCACTTTTATTTACATTTTTCTAGCAAAGTTACTCTTTATTTTTCTTGTTATAATGAGCCAATCCCATTGCTATCAAGTGTCCATCTTGTCTAACTTGCCATTTAGCTTTTACATTTTGTTTTACTTTCAATACGAGCTCCATCATTTTTCAATCTTTTAAATATAAAGTTAGGAAAAACCACTTTGGTACATGGTCTCCCACATAAAATATAATCCTTGAGGGAATGATAACTCTACTTCATCACTTTTTTACTTTGATGTAACCTATGCACTTGCATGCTATAAAACAGCAATCAAGTTTTTTGGTATCGTTGCTAATGATTATATCAGTGCTAAAATACCAATATCGATAACACATCTTTCAAGATTTTTATTTTCTTACTCTAATGTGCTTTGTCTCTCTTAGCTTTTATGTTTGACTTTTATTGCAGTAGGCCAAAACCTTTTAAGACTATATGGAACCATTATTTGATTATTCCTACATTCAACCATTATTTCAAAATCCAAGACCTAAGAGTTACTATTGAAAGGTATGACTTAGACCTTTTTATAGTCATAACCTCACATTTAGCCTATTTAACAAAAAAGATAGATATCCTTGAAAGGAATCATAATCCTAGTCATGTCCATTCATTTTAAGGCTTATTTGATAATTGTCATGTTTATAATGGGGCGTCTTATAGTGATAAGTGTTAAGATAACCAATCATATTATTTTTCAAACACCTACACTCAAGATTAGAAAGGTTAGCCTAATTACCTATGGGAAAATAGTCAAAATCAGCCCTATAGTACAACATCCATTCAACTATTACTTATCCAATTGACCTTCCACCACCATAACACCATTCCTCTATACAATATGCTCCCTTACCCTAAGAAAAGAAACATTCCATTGAAGAGGTGTTAAACCAAATCCTTCAAGATTAGACCACTACCATGCTTCAAATCCAAGCTTGTCTTAAGAACTTTGAAGAGAAAGGTTAATTGTTAGCAAATGCCCTTAACACATACCTTTAAGAGTCCCTATTTAGCAATACTGAATCTAAGACTATATAAGAATATGATGAGTATTATAAGGAGCAACCATTAAGAAAAGGTGAAGAATAGAGTAGTGACCCTAGTGGAAATGACGGAAGGGAAAATGATATTGATTAAAAGTGTGTAGTGATCTTGAGTAGTCTAAGTAGACATAAACCTTAGAGGATGCTGGCTAGATTAAAGGACATAAATATCAAGAAGATGATAGCACTAGTCCTAATCAAAGCATTTCTAAGTCTTATAGTCCACCTTTGCAAATTTTTTAGCTTTGCAAAGATCAAATGCATGATTTGAAATTGAATAAGGTAGATAACAAGGTTGATGAGGGTTGTTTAGTTAAAAATTTGCTTGAATCTTTAGAAACACCTTTAATGAAGCCTAATGAAAAAGATGAAGATATTGCATCCTTTTCACTCACCCAAATTATATCACCTATAGAGGAATCTTTCACCTTAGAGCTAAAACCTATACTCTTAATGATTGTACCTTTTTTACTGGAATTGAAACCAATACCCACCTATCTTAGTCAGCAAGTGCTATAATGAAGACATTGTTAAAGGTGAACATATATCTATTTTCATTATAATCACTAAGCATAACCATTTAGAGTTTATTATTGAAAATATGGTAAGTAGAAAGACTATTAAATGGGTCAATACTGGTGCTAAGTGTGAGGTAATTATGTAACCCTATGGGAAGAGAAAGGTCAAGCTTGACCAAAACTTGCTCTATTTAGAAGGCAACACAAGTTCTACATTTCTTTGTTAAGTTTTGCATTTTCTTATTTAGTTTTACATTTTCTTGTTGATTTTTACAATTTATTGTTATTTGTTTAATTTTATTTAGGACAAGTATACTTTGATCTTATTTTTGTTTTTGTTTTCGTTTTCTTAAGGAATAAGGATGATTTAAAGGATGCCTCAATAAAAGTACAAAATTTGGCCTCAAAAAGCAAAGATAGGGGAGTATTCCTTTTCTCAAAATTTTGAACTGCTCCATATGAAATATTACGCAAGTTCAGTGTAGGAAAGGGAACTTTTTAGTGCTAAAATCGTTTGTCAATTTTTTTTTTTAAAAGTTAATCGCAAAGTCTTTGTTTTCAAACCAAGTTAACATACCTATAATCATGATAATGCAATCTTAGTTAATTTTTAACAGGTTAACCATGAGTGATTTAGGTATAATTTTAGGACAAATATGACTGTAGTGAAAACATGAAATGATGTCTTAAGTATGCTATCTTGGAATTGTTAATTTTCATGTTATGTGCATTTTAGTCTTAATCTTTGACATGCATTAATTTTTGTGAAAAATCATGTAAATATAAAGTTGCATAAAGATTTAAGGCATAAGTATGACTTTAGAATTTGTTTACTTAACCCTTGAGATGAAATCCTAAATTGTACTTGACTCAAGAAGTGATTTAGGTCATTTTTAGACCATTTAAGCATTTTCAAGCCCACCTATGAATACAATCATCCTTAATACCTAGTTTAAGTCTTGATAATCATTTTCTTTCTTTTTTACCCATATTAATAAGTCCAACACTTTTTTAAGAATTATCCATCTTTTTCTCATAGAACCCACATTGCTTATGCATTTTAGGGACAAAATAAGAGAACAAGTCATATTAGAGTGGTAAGAAAGTGCAAAGATTAAAAAAAAAAAAAAAGCAAAAGCCAAAATGGCTATAAAAAAATCCAAATAAATATGCCTTTGCCTTATAAAGTCTCAAAAGTTCTCAAGTCTAAGTTTCAAAAATAAGCAAAAGGTTTTGAGCCTAAAAAAAATCTTTTTTCCTATCTTAATCCAAGTTTTACATTACAAGCCTATAAAGACTTATTAATCTTGAGTCAAGCATGTAAATCTACATTAATGGAGAGAAAATGAGAAAAGTAAACATATGAGATATGCTTTTTCTTTAAAGTCATATTTAATGGCATATCTTGCAAATGTGGTAACTATGGCAATCCAATATGTAGTCGAACCAAAAAGCCTAATGGATGCTAGTTACATTTTTGGCCAAAGCAAGAATTTATGTGTATAAAGACTCTTTTAAATTCAAAAGAGTCATAAGCCAAGTGAAAGAATCAAGAGGATTTGGTATTTGAATTTAAACCAACTGAATTTTTCATTTGAAATTATAATTATGTTAACTTGGCAAGACACCAAAGCATGAGCGGCACCAATGGACTAATGCAAAAGTCCCATTCGGCCACACAAGCTCCATATCATTCAAAAACTTTTCACATTTGGCCAACCATTTTTTGAAATTAAGATTATATTTTGAATTTAAATATGTTTGAGCTTAAGCAAAATTGTCTAGGTTCATCCCCTTAAGTCACCCTTGTACTATAAATAGTTTATGCTATTCACTTATAAATCATCCTTTGTTCCATCTTTCACTTCATTTTCATTCTTTCTCTTTAGTTTTCGGCTTTAAAGATCAGTTATATTTTTTTTAAAGCTTTCTTATTTACATTTCAAGCACACTTTTACCCTTGGTTTTAATCTGCATTTATTTTGTTGCTATTTTACATTTGTGTACTTGTTTTTTATACTCTTTTTACATTTAACCAACCTTTACATTTTTTCAAGCATTCTGCTTTCCTTGCTCGTTTCCATTTACATTTTTCTTGCAAAGTTACTCTTTTTTTTTTTAATTATAATCAGCCAACCCTATTGCTATTAAGTGTCTAACTTCTTTGGTTTGACATTGGACTTTTATATTTTAGTTTTACTTTCAATACAAGCTCTCTCAATTTTTAAAATTTTTTAAATATAAAATTAATAAGAACTACTTTAGTATTTGATCTTACAGTCAAAACATTCTCGAAGGAACAAAACTTTATTTCATTAATTTATTTTTGGATACGATTTGTTTACTTATAGTCTACAAAAAGCAACAATCAATTATATAAAATAAAAACATATACACTTTAAAAACTCCGTCAGATAATTGTTTTTATAAAAAAGAAAAAAATGCAAAACTCAAAAGCCAATTCCAATTAGGACCGTAGACTTATAATCTTGCCCCAAAATATATTTTGTAAAAGGCATTAGATTCCGTCAAAAATGATGAGATCGGCTCCCACGTTGGACGGTTGAAACTCGAAAGATTTGTTATTTATCAATTTGTATCAAATTTATTTTAAAGTTAATTTGAACGGCTCGATTTGCAATCTCATCGGTCTCGATGACAATGTTGGTAAAATACTCCCTTCCACGGTGCCGTTTCTCAATTCTCTACCCGCTGCCTACCTACCAATGTTTTAACCACCTTCTGTTCGCTTACCTCTTTCGTAACATTCCTTCTAGTTTTTGGTGTTTTACCCTCCTTTGAATTAATACGATTGAAGTCCATAAAAAAAATTCAGTTTAAAACCAAAACAAAAAATTTGTCTCCAGATTCATGTACTATTTTCTCAACTGTTTGTGAAAAAATAAGTTTTGGTTCTCAATGGCTGCCAAGCTGGGTTCTTTTAGGTACTCTCTTCTAGAGAAAAGGGAGAGAACAAAAGGGCATTCAGTGTGGGGATTCGCCAACGAAGAAGGAGAAGAGGAACAAGGACAAGGACAGGGACTGAGATGTTTTTCTTACAGATTCATAAGCGACAAAATAACTGGGTTCCTAAAGGTGGTTCAGCTTGTTGCAGGCAAGGCATGGCAGATGGGCAAATCGGATCCTAGAAAGATTATTTTCTCTGCCAAGATGGGTCTTGCCTTAATGCTTATTTCGTTGCTTATTTTCTGGAAACAGCCCATCAAGGAGCTAAGCCAACACTCTGTTTGGGCTATTCTCACTGTTGTTGTCGTCTTTGAATTCAGTATAGGTAATATGGTTGGTTTTTATTTTTGGTTTTTTCACTAATAGTTTTCTTATTATAGATTACGGTTGTTGGTTATTGAATTGTTGGTTTGCAATCACATAAATGCCCTTGTTGCTGTTGCATACGTTTGGCTGCAGTTTTTTTTAATGATTTTCTTTCCTTTTTGGGTTTGTTTAGAGGTTTTGATTCGATTGTTGCTTTTTTATTATTTGTTTTTGCTTCTTAAAAACTGAAAGCAGAATCATAATTAATTAAAAATGAACAAATAGTGGCTCTGATATGATTATTTCATATATTAAAGTAAAATCAAGTAAAAAAAATACTAGATTTTTAATTCTTCAAAAATAGTAATATTATGTAGTGTTTTATTTGTTTACAACTTTAATAGCCACCTTTTTCTGCAGGAGCAACTCTTAGCAAAGGATTTAACCGAGGGCTGGGGACACTATCAGCTGGAGGGCTTGCTCTGGGTATGGCAGAATTGTCGCAGTTGGCTGGACAATGGGAAGAAGTTGTTATTGTGATTAGCATCTTTATCATCGGTCTGGTTTTTTGGTCATCATTTTTATCTCATGTATTAGACTAGACTATTAACAATTGGTCTCTTTAGGAGTTGCTACTAGGTTTTCTCTGACATGCCATCTATTGCCAGGATTCTTTTCAACTTATGCAAAACTCTACCCAACGATGAAGCCATATGAATATGGACTCCGAGTGTTTGTGTTGACATATTGTTTTGTAACAGTCTCTGGGTATAAGACAGGGGAATTCATCCATACAGCTGTGACACGTTTTTTGCTAATAGCCCTTGGTGCCGTTGTTTGTTTAGTTGTTAACATATTCTTTTACCCCATCTGGGCTGGAGAGGATCTACACAATTTGGTGGCCAAAAATTTTATGAGTGTGGCAAATTCTTTAGAAGGTTAATATGCACGTAATGTTACGAATATATCTCATCAATTTTTGTAAGTAATGGCTCATTCTCATGCTTGTCTTCTTCTACTTTTAATCAGGATGTGTTAAAGGGTACCTTAACTGTGTTGAATATGAAAGGGTCCCTTCCAGAATACTAACTTATCAAGCTTCAGATGACCCAGTTTACAGTGGCTACAGATCAGCTGTAGAATCTACAAGTCAGGAGGAAGCTCTGGTAATTTTTGTTGCATTTTACATCTTCCACCTGGTACCTGAAATGATGGTATTCTCATCTTTGTTCCCTTTTTTCCCTTTTCTTTTCGGATGCAAAGTTGGGTTTTGCCATCTGGGAGCCACCTCATGGTCCTTACAGGTCACTGGGTTATCCATGGAAGAATTATGCCAAAGTAAGTGGAGCACTGAGGCATTGTGCATTCATGGTCATGGCCATGCATGGCTGTATACTTTCAGAGATACAGGTAGTTATTCTTTCCTATCTCTAATGTTTGCCATTGGCTGCCAATATGATTACAAATGCCTTCCATTTTCATTCTTTGTTTGTTCTAAAGCTGTATGGCGCTAGGATCCCTGAGTTATTTGTTTTACCTTTTTCATTTGGCAGAGGTTCCTCGTGAATTATTATTTGTGCTTTGAACTGACAAAAAGTTATTACTACTATTTCTTTTGATCCACAATTTTATTTTTAGCTGTGCTTTTGGAGCAACAGGTTTATTGTTCCACTAACAATATTCTAATGGGTCCTTTCGATTCTTTGTTTGTTATGACACTGATAGAATAATAGTTTTCTCTGACCTTAGGAAACTATTCTTGTGATGCAACTTCTATAATTGCTTTCTCTGATATAAACCTCTTCTTTGCCATGACACAAAATTTTGCTGAATGCGTTTGCTCTGTTCATAACTGTACTGTAGATTTATTTTAAACTATTCCTAAATATCCCTTTATCAAACTTTTAGAATATACTTCTGGGAAAAGGTTATGTAAATTCAAATTTTGAATCATAGAAATAACCTTCATGGAAGTGACTACATGCCACATTGAAATTGTTCTGCGACAGGAATCATGATTGACAAATAGAATTTACTGAATGATGATTATCCATTCTAATGCTACCCTTCATTGAAATGTGCTTGTCATTGCAAATGCCACTTTTTTCTTGGACTATCCTTAAACTTACTGTATTTTTCAAAATATACTTATTTGTATGTATAGGCTCCACCTGAACGGAGACAAGTTTTTCATCATGAAATTAAAAGGTTAGGTGCTGAAGGTGCTAGAGTGTTGCGTGAGCTTGGGAACAAAGTTAAAAAGATGGAGAAATTAGGTCCTGTTGACATACTATTTCAAGTGCATGATGCTGCAGAAGAGCTGCAAAACAAAATTGACCGAAAATCCTACCTTCTTGTCAATGCTGAGAGTTGGGAAATTGGAAATCGGCCACATAGTCTGGCAGAGCCTCAAAATTTACTGAACTTGGATAGTGAAGAACACAAAGTCCTGGGTAGTAAGTCCCTCAGTGAAGCAGTACTTTGTCTCAGAACAGTTACTATACCAAATAGTTGGGATGGTCTGAAAAATAATGTAGGTGCCAACCCCACAGTACCTCCTCGTGCACCCTTTGGAGACTTACTTAAGAAACAGATATCATGGCCCGTGCGCACTTCATTAACTACTGATGCAGTCCCGCTTTTGGAAGAGTCAAAAACATTTGAGAATGCAAGCGCATTGTCATTGGCAACATTTACTTCACTTTTGATTGAATTCATTGCAAGGCTGCAAAATGTTGTTGACTCATTTGAAGAGTTGAGTGAGAAAGCAAACTTTAAGGAACCTGATGAGCTACCAGCAGCAGCAAGAGAGCCCATTGGCCTTTGGTCCAGATTGTTTAGGTATCTGAAGTTTTAGAATTGGCATATAACATCTTAGTTAAAGATTAGAAAAGACAGAGATGGAATTACTCGGAGCCTAAATCAGGAATTACAGCTTAAGATGCAGGCCTCAACAAGCACAGGATTTTATTGAACGAAGTTCTGAAAGTTGTGGATACCGATTTATGGTGCTGGGGTGCAACAATAGTTATGCAACCATGTAGAAGTCTCTCCAGAAGATGATGTTTTATAACTTGATGATTATGAATCTAATGGAATGAGAAGTGAAAACTGCTGTCATACCAACTCTGACTTAAACCAACAGTGTACGTGGTTGTTGGGTAAATATTTTGACCTTTATATTAACTGCTTTTGTCTTCACATTTATGTTTTCATCCTTTAATGAATCTATCCTAAAATTAATCCCCCATTCCGACCTGTGGAGGACAGTTTTTTATCTTTGCTAATTGAATATAAAGTCTTCTGGCTTCTCAAAGCTGAAACAATAATGTACCTATTGGTGTGGACTGAATTGGAGAAGGAATAGGATAGAGAAGCAACAATGGACAAATAGGATGATAATTGTTTTATATTATATTTGGTTTGTATCTTAAAAATAGATAGATTTGTATTTAAAGAAGAGAATAGAACTGTAATAAATATTAATTATCCTCTTGGTATAAAATAATTTAATTCGTTTAAATTGGAGAGGATTATTTTTAATTAATGAGATTAAACTTACATGTTTTATTATATATTTAAAATTATATAAATAATTTAAATTGTAAATTATATAAATAATTTAACTTGTATAAATTTTGAGAAATGATTATTTTAATCAATAAATAAAATTATCTTAATTTTTACACATATCAAATATAAGATAAAATGATATTATTTAATTTAATCCAATTCATAATATCATATTATTCTATCTTATCATAATTTTATGTACTAAATATACCCTTAAAATATTTTTTTCTCAAAGTTTCAAGTAAAATTAAATTTCAAAAGAGTTTAAAGGTTAATTCGGTTCATACAATCATTTTTAAGAAGTGATATTTTAGCGAGTCTAAAATTTAAAATTTAACATTTATAATTTTTTTTTTAATTTTTAGATTGCAACATCTTTTATATAAAAAAATAAAAAGAATGAGATAAATGAATTGATTATCTGTACATGTTCTATCTGTTTGTGAATATATAAAAATGAGCTGTAAGCTCGTTGGATGGTTAACACATGTAAAAAAAAAAGACACAAGATTATTTAAATTTATCAAAGATATTAGCATTGTTTTTAGTATTCTATTAGAAATACAAAGTAATGGTGGAAACCGTAGTTTGAGACGTTAGGCGGTTAATGATAAGACTCAAAGTCTTGAACCATGGACGTACATTTATAAGGTTTGGTTCAAAATCTTTGGAATGTTACGGTGTGTTTCATACCTTTTGTTTCAAATGTTTGTACTTTCTTATATGGTATGTAATTATTGATTTTGTTATGTTTATTTCCTCGGTCAATAAAATTAACTTTCTTAGATGTCAAGTCAATGCACATCTAGCGACCACATCACCCACTTCACCTTAAGAATTGGCTTGCCTTTCACCAAGAAAGAGCTTACTCAACACTTATACTAACGTCTCATCAAAACATCACCTTAAAATTGAGCACTCATCTTTAATTTATTTGAGATCATTAAATACAATCCATGTTTACCTAATATCATTAAATGCAATTCGTAATTACCTACATGGATCATCCTCAAGCTCCACATAGACTTATCATCAATTATCAACTGTTTTAGTTAAGTCACCATCATTTGTCTCATATATAAGGTAAGGATGAGGCCTAAGTACGTGAGACTTAAGTATTTCTCTCCATTATAGTTTCCTTAGGACACTTCACTTTCTTCCTCTTAAAACCCTAAACACGTTACTTACTTAAGCGTCAAAACACATCTCGAAAAGCCAACTCTGATGCCTCTTAACCATGTTTTCTAGTTGCGGGTCCAAGTTTCATCACCTCCAACCTCGAGTTAACCCTAATGCAGTTAAGGCACCCAAAAACAACATCAATAATTGGTGTCATCTGTGAGAATGACAGTCGTGTCTCACCATCCTCACTCTTCTAAAACAGCAACATCTAACATAAATGCAACAATCTAACATGTAGCTATCTCTAATGCACCACCATGCTACCAATCCTCCCACAAATCCCATCATTAAACCTTCTTTCATGGAATTCGATGTATCACCCCATTTCTCCATTCTCTAGTACTTCACTATCATTAAATGCATAGACTACACAACCTTTGGGATACTATTAAAACCTTATAGGAGTTTTATCTCAAAAAATATGACAATAATCCCAACATTGGTTCACACCACTATTGTTGGACCTTCAAACCTAACATTCCAACCACCTTATATACAAGTCTAGTTTTCATAACCTAATAATAACATTCATTGGCAACATGTTCCTCTTGCAATATAAATTGTACATGTTACATTACCACCCTTACAAATCCCTATATACAAAGCCAACATGTAACAACCACCACTAGAATTTTACCATGCATTGATGAACCAAATCCAGCTACTAAATGCCCAAGTAGCCACCCAACAAAAGTTACTCTAATAGTACCAACAAGCTACCTAATAACCTCATAAGAAAACCCTACCTAAGGGAAAGCTCTGCTTTTTTATTTCGAGAACCTTCCCAAAACCTTACCTATCTTGAAGAAAGCTACCCCCAATCAATCCAAGATAGTATTTACCCTAACGAACCCACCACACAAAACTGAACCCTCACCAATTCTAACCTTGAGAATGAATTGGTCATACAAGTGGCTACCTTGCATAAAAAACTTGCTAACCTAAAGAGGGTAAAGAAAAAAAACCTCTAATGGCTAAAAGACGACCACAACCCTCTAACCTTGTTTATCAAATAGGCCAATATCCTTACCTCTCTCAAACTCTTAAAAAAAATCTATAATGGGGCCAATGATCTAAAGGATCACTTGGATCACTTCAATATTTTCATGGATCTACAAATGCTTTAGATGCGATAAAATGTAAAGTTTTCCCCATAACTTCATGAGGAAGAGCCTATACATGGTTCTATTCTATGGTCCCAACAACCATCGATAGTTTCAACACATTAAATAAGCAGTTCCTAGCTCATTCCTTAGCAACAGGGTTGCAGTGTGCTTCTCAGTTAGCTTGCTGGTCATAAAGTAAAAACCTGATAAGACTTTACAGTAATACTTTAAATAATTCAACACAGCCACCTTAGAGATTAAAGACCTTAACATAAAGTGGAGCATCCAAACCTTTACTTCTGGGATTAGGCATGATTACCTCAAGTATTCTTTAATAGACAACAAACTTGAGCAACTATACCAACTCTATGAAAGAGCCTAAAAATTTGCTAAAACTAAAGAAATTAGAGTTGTAGATAAAGATGAGAAGTGTGAACAATGCCTTGAATGCCCGTGAGGTGATAGTAAGCGGACAAAACCCCTAGCCAATAGTTTCATGACAACCGCCAATCCTACAACCAGTCCAATAGAAGAGATTGGCAAAATAATATACATTGAAACTCTAAGCAATAACCCAACCAATACCAAGCTTTTAAATCGAACCCTCAATGCTATTAAACAATAACCTGCCCAAAGAACCAACTAAACACCCAACCAGGCAAGGCTTGCTCCTAGAAAATCTGATAACCAACTTTCACCAAAGATCACTCAACTGATGAGTGCATAGCCCTTCAAAAAGAGATTGAAATAACTAATTAACAGCTAACCTACTCACCATGATAAGAACCAGAATAATCCATTATCTTGCCTGCTAAGAGACATGTTTGTTTACCAATAGGGCAAAAGGCTCTTTTCATTAAGAAGACGAGCCTTGCCAAGTGAAGACAACTAGTGAGCACCCTATCTAAGGAATAATTCATGTCATCATGGAAACAACAGAAGACTGGGCCAATAGCAAATCAAAGTGCAAATCCCACTTACGTAGTGTTATGGCCATTGATGTGGCACTTAAGAAATAGAAAATGAAAGGTTGGCGGATGGAATTTTTATAAGATGATACAACATCTTAGTTGATAATGGCAATGACCCTATAGTGGTCTAGGCAATCATTACCAATTTTCAAGTATAGAGAATCTTGGTGGATAGTAGAATTGTGGTTAACCTGATTCAGTATTAGGTGTTTAGGCAAATGGGTTTCTCAAATAGTGACTAAAGGCCATCAAGGCCTATATTCGATTTTGCAAACCAAGCCATCGTCATGAAATGATCCATCACTTTGTTAGTTACTGTAAGGGATGGTAAGCACACGTTCATTACCTTAGTCGATTTTTTAATGCTAGATCAACCATTAGCATACAATGTTATTTTTTGCAAGCCACCAATGAAAAAAAGAAAGATGGTGATGGCCATTTATTGTTTAAAGGTCAAGTTTCCTACACCCACAAGGGACTAATTTATGAAAACTAATTAAGTCACAACCCGCTAATGCCATATGTTAAACATCCAACTAACACAAAATGAGGACAATGTAGTAAATAGACCACCTCTACCAATAGAAGAGCTTGAAACACAACCCAACTCCCGTTCTTATACACCTTATCAACCCATCCTTAGCCCAAACTCCCAACATTGATAGCTTGGACATCAGAGACAAAACCATAGAATATAAGGCCATCCTATCAAGCAAACAGTGTTAGTGCAGTTGTATCTTCTTAATCCAAAGCTAGTCACCCAAACGGGTTCCTTATTGGACCCTAAAATGAAAGGTACATTGCACCAATTCTTGTAGCACAACATAGATGTCTTTGCTTGGTCTACCACAGACGTTGTAAATATAGATGAGCGTGTTATCACTCACCAATTGAATGTAAACCTAGTAGCCAAGCTAGTGAAATAGACAAAGAGGCATTCCACCCTCGAATAGATACAGATAATTAGAAAAAGAGTTGACAAGTTGTTGGCTGTTAATTGCATAAAAAAGGTAAAGTACCATAGTGGCTTGCCAATGTTATAATGGTGAAAATGGTGAATGGAAAATGGCATATATAAGTGGACTTCACTAATTTGAACAAAGCCCACCCCAAGGATAATTTTCCTTTCTTTTTGATTGATCAGTTGGTTGACTCATCTATGGGTCACAAATACTTGAGCTTTATGGATGCATTTTTAGGGTACAACCAGATTAAGTTGGCTAGGATAGATCAGTAGAAGATGTCTTTCATAACTGAAGACGGTCTATTCTTTTATATAGGCATGGCCTTCTGACTTAAAAAAACAAGGGCCATTTATTAGAGATTGGTTAATAAGATTTTCAATGACTAGATTGGGCGGTCCTTAGAGGTATATATAGATGACACATTGGTAAAGAGCCCCTATTTAGAACAGCATGTATAGGATTTGAAAAAAGCTTTCTCCATCCTATATCAATACAACATGAAGTTGAATCTTTCCAAATGTATTTTTAGTGTGGAAGCAAGCAAGTTTCTTAGATTTATGGTCTCTAATAGGGATATAGAAATAAACCCTGAGAAGGTGACAACTATCCTAGATATGAATCCCTCACGAAAAAACTAAGGAGATGTATAAATTAACAGAGTGAGTGATAGGCTTTATTCAATTTGTGTTCAAGT